TTGAAAAATGTTTTAATTAATTTTTTTTTTTTTTTTCAGGGATTCTCATGTCTGGAAATGAAATGAGTCAAATTTTTTTAGCAACTTTTCTAGCTTATAAGGGTGGAAAAGGAAATCGTCCAATTTGGATCGCTTGGGGTGTTTTATTTTCATCCCTTTCTTGTTTTATATTAGCCCTACCACATTTTATTTACGGCCCTGGTTCAAATGCATTGGCTTTAACGGAAGAATATTTAGATCAGAAATTTTATAATTTAACATCGTCTGCTTCGAACGGTGCGTTCAGGAATCATCTTTTTTTTTTTCCCTATAAAATGTTGAATTCACTTTGAAAAAGTTAATTAATTTATTAAATAAATAATTTTATAGATTTTTCATTGAATTTATGTCGTAGTCATCGTCAAAATGATACCGAAATAATATCAAATGAAGAATGTAAAGAAAAACATTCGGAATATCCAATATTGTCATTGTGTTTGATATTTTTTTCTCAATTTGTTTTGGGAGTGGGGACGACACTTTATGTCACTTTGGGTCAACCGTATTTAGATGATAACACAAAAACAAAAAATACTCCCAAATTGTTGGGTAAAAAACAATTATTATTTTTATTATTATTATTATTATTATTATTATTTCCTTTTAATGTTAAATAAAAGTTTAATTTGTTTGTTAAATAGGAATAACAATGGCGTTGAGAAGTGCCGGACCTGCTGGCGGTTTCATTTTGGGTTTTTTATGTTTAAATTCATACATAGACCCTTCTTTAACTCCAATTATAGAAAGAAGCGATCCAAGATGGTTGGGAGCTTGGTGGATGGGTATATATATATTTATTATAATTCTATTAATGATGATGGTGATGATGATGACGGTTACGTTATTTAAATCTTGATCTTCAGGTTGGTTGATTTTGGGCACGACGATGACAATTTTTTCATTTCTCATAGCATCATTTCCAAAACAATTAAAACCAAATTTAAATAAGGGTAATCGTCCGATCAATAGTCATTTGTACGAAATGGTACCGATTAATGAAATACAAAAGATAACAAATACAGAATCTAAAAGAATAATTTTAAGTAATCCAAATGTAGAAGAAGGATTGTTTTCAGGTTTGATAATTTCCGGTTGAGTCGAATAAAATTTATCGTGAAAAATTATTATCATCATTATCATTATTATTATTATTATTATTATTTATCAGATTATAAGAAAGCATTGAAGAGAGTTTGTTTGAATCCGTTATTGATATGTAATAATTTCGTTGCCGTTTTTTACATACTTGGAGCTTCAGGATATTTTAGTTTTTATACAAAATATGCAGAAGTACAATATCATCAAAGTGCTGCTTTTTCCAGCATGATTGCAGGTATCACATGATCCAGAAATTTAGTTTAAATAAAATTTTCACATCCATTTTTAAACAATTTGAAATTTTCTTCTTAGGTGTGAGTACAGTGGTATCAATTATTCTGGGATTTTTAATTTCCGGATTTGTAATATCAAAATTTAAACCGAAAGAATCCCGTTTGCTGTTATTCAATGTTTTTATCGCTTGCGTTTACATGTCTGGAGAACTCACTTTTTTATTTATGGGTTGTAACGGCGATAATAATAATGATGTTCAACAACAAACGAATACCGGGTCTGTGTTCTTGTTGTTTTAGAATAAAATAAAAATATTAATTTTAATCGTTAGATGATTAAAAAAAAAATGTTTCATTATATAATTAATATAGAGTTGCGTTCAATTCTTCTTGTAATGGAAATTGTTCTTGTAACATGATCGGTTACACTCCAGTTTGTTTTGAAAAAGAAAAAAAATCATTTTTTTCTCCTTGTCATGCAGGATGTACTCAAATTCAAGATGTCATCAAGGTGTGAAATTTTTTGTTTTTTTTTGGTTTCTCCACCGGATGCAAAGTCATTTAATCAATTAATTTTCTTTTTAGAGAACGTACAGCAATTGTTCTTGTTTGCCAGAACCCACGGACATTGTCAAACAAGGACCCTGTAAAATAAATTGTCTTTATCCTTTTGTTATATTTGTTGCCGTTCAATGTCTCATTCAAATGATTGGCTGTTCTGGAAGGATAACAAACGTTTTAATTAATTATAGAACCGTTGAACCGAGAGATAAACCTCTTGCTCAGGGAATTTCATTGTTCATGATAAGCCTTTTGGCTTTTATTCCTGGTCCGATTATTTACGGAAAAGTAATAGGTAATAAAAAAAAGAATTAAAAAATTTTTTTTATTGAAATGAAAAAAATGAAAAAATCGTTTTCGACTTGTTGCAGACAATAGTTGCACTCTATGGAATAATAAATGCGGTTACAAAGGAAATTGTTGGGTTTACGATAAAGATGCTTTCCGTATATATTTAAACGTAACGGCTTTGTGTGAGTTATTAATTACACAACAAAAAAACCTTTTTCCTTTGTTCCTTTGTTTACGTATAATGATAATTTAAATTTTCAGGTTTTACCTTTTGCGCTTTCGTATGCGACATAATTGTTTTTTATTTGGGAAAAAATATTAAATTGTACGAAGACACATTAGAGAGAGAAAAGACTTAAGTTCTCAAATTTGTTTTAGCTTTTTCCAGTATTTCTTTTTGTATTCGAGGATAATCCGGATATTGTTTTATAATCGTGTAGCAAACTTCAATGGCGTCCGCGTATCTTTTACATTTCATGTAATTAAATGCTAATTTGTAACCGATGGATGGATTTGTTTGATTGCAATACCTGTAAAAATCAACATTTTTATATTTATAGAAAATATTATTATTATTAATTAACATTATAAAATCAATGAAGAGTTCATTTAAGAGTTTTGTAAAGAATTTAAAAATGGCGCATACCTCCATGCATTTTCATATTGAAGTGCTGCATCTTTGTACAATTGTTCTTTTTCAGCAATTATTCCGGCATAATCGTACGCTTTGTAACATCCTTTGTTATATTGTAAAACGTTTTGAATTAATTCAACAGGAATTTCCATTTTTCCCGATTGGATATAAATATCCGTTAGTAGGAGCCAAGCTCGTTCTAAATATTCAGCATCTTCGTACGTCCAACTATTTTTAACGACTCTTTTTAAATGATTTTTAGCTTTTTGAACTTGCTTCTACAAATATATACATGAGTGAGAGGATATAGAACCATAAATTTTCATTTTATTTTTTATCTCGAAAAAAAAAAAAAAAAAAAAAAATTTCACCTGGAGCATGTAAGATGTTGCGATTCCAAGTGAAATACCCACGTGATCTTTATAAGAATCTTGAGATGCTAAAATTACAAAATCTTGTTGAGCTTTTTCAATGTTGGATTTTTGATTCGTGGATAAAAGCCAAAAATTTTCTAAAATTCTACAGGTCAAACCCTCGCTGTGATCTGAACGAGATTTTAACTCAGATAATAACCTAAAATAAACAATTTTTACCGTCGTTTAACACCAAATTATTTTTTTACTCGACAAATTAAATTTGAAATTGAACTAACTTTTGAGCCGTACGTAAAACCATTTGTTGAGAATCTTGAACTTCTTCTTTATCCAATTCTTCTGTGAAAGCTTCACTTCTTAAAGTTTCATTTTCAGGGTTTAAACATATTTCAATCATATTAATTAAAGATTTTTGACCCCATTCCGGATGTTGTTTGGCTCCTGAAATATGCTTTTTTTTTTTAAAAAAAATATTCTCTACGGGATTACATTTCATTTTTTTATAGAAAAATATTTAATTACGATTAAAATTATGAAGTGCCGATCCTGGTCTTTCAGCATATCTTTCGTATAAACCTTTACAATATGAATATCCTGATTCTTGAGAAGGTTGCAAAAGCGAGTTTTCGGCTTTTTCTAAAAATGGTAGAGCATGATCTAAATTTCCTGTTCGTCTCATTATCTATAAAAATTAGCCGCCAAACCACGCCCCCCCCCAAAAAAAAAAAAGAAAATATTTTGACATATTTTAGGTTAAATTATAAAAAAATTTAAATATTTCAATTAATTCTGCATACCTCAATCAGTCGTGCCAATGCAACCCAATAAGTAGGTTTCTTGTTCAAAAGTTGTTTAAAATGTAGGGAGGCAGCTTCGAAATCGACTTTTCGAAATGCTAAATCTGCCAACATTACTGTAGCAAGTTCACTGTCTGGATCGGTAGATAATAATTTCCTACTTGTTATTTCGCATTCGTCAAAATCTTTTGTCTAAATTATTCCATGTTATCAATACCTGATAATTTTTTTTTTGAAATAATTGAAAACTAATTTAATACCTCCATGTAAAGTCTGCAAATGGCCACCATAACGTTCACATTGTCAGGTTTAACTGCCAGGGATTCCTTATAACATTTTATCGCTCCATTAAAATTCCGGAGTCTGGTAAGCAAAATGGCTGTATCGGAACAAATTTCAGATAAAATTTCCTTATGCTGATCAGACTGAATCGAAACTCTTTTTTCGATTCGATTGCAATTCTCTTTGGCCGTATTTAAAGCTGCCAAACTTTCCGTTAGATTACCCGATTTGTCGCGAACCTGGAATTACGTTTTAGCGAACGATATTTAATCGTTTAACCGGAAACGGAATTAATAATTTGTTTGTTCGTTAAAAATAAAATACCTTTGCTAACAATTGAAGTAATTTTATTCTGGTGAGCATTTGATTTAAATCGTTTGTTTCATTTTTTTCATTATCTAATTCTTCAACAAGAATTCTTTCAGCATTATCCAATTCTCCAAGTTTTAAATACAAATTTCCCAAGTCGTAAATTAAATCTAAATTTTTTTCGTTTTTCAACTGGAAAATAAAAACGATTCCATTACAAAAAATGTTTTTGTTTTAAACTTAAGTTTATCATAAAATGTGTGAAAAACAATCGCACCAGACTTTTCCTCAGGTGTAAAATTTAAGGATTAATATTACTTACTGCTTCTTTATAATAATTAACTGCCTTAGAGAAATAATGAGTTTTTACTAAAGCCCTACCTAATTTACACATTAAACCGACATTTTTTGGATCTGCTTTCAAAGCTTGTTCATATGCATTAATGGCTGAATTTGCTTCCTAAAAAATTATTTAAATTTGTAATATTCTTCTTTAAAACTTTTTCAAAGGCCTCAAAATTTTTTTTTTTTTTTTTTTTTTTACTTGAATTGACATGAAAGCATCTCCCAAAGTGCTAAACGTATCTGAATTTGGACAATTATCAACCAAATCCTGATAACACTGCGCATACATTTCTCTATTTTTTTTATTAAATAGGTAAATATCCGCGAGAGTTTTTTTTGCAAGAAAAAAATAATTATCTTGTGGTTGAATTTTTTCTAATAATTCAATCCCTTGTGTAATTTTCCCTTTATGAATTAATATTTTAGAGTGAGCAATAGTAATTCTGCTTTCTTCTGACGTTCCTGAAAATTAAATTAATATAATTAATAAAACTCCCAGTAAAAATTAAAAAGAAAAAAAAAAAGAAAAAGAAAACCTTTAAATTCTGTTGAAGCACTTTCGATTAATTTTGAAACAGCATCCAAGTCATTATTTTGTTTGTGAGCTTCCATTAATTCTAAATACAGTGTAACTTTGTTCTTTAAAGGTAATAAATTTTCACATTCTTTACTTTTTTCCTTTTTATTTTTAACATCAGTCATAGACAAAGCAGTTTTTAACAAATTAATGCAATCAACTAAATTTCCTTTTTCTTTTTCTACCATACCAGAAATCATGTAATATATGGGATGTTCTCGAATTTTAAAGTTGTGACTTATGCCTGATTCTAAACAAACTGCTCCTTCTGTGTAATTTTTTTCTTGAAAAAGCATTTGAGCCATGAGTATGTGAGCTTCAGCTAATGTAGAATCTAAATTTTCTAAAAAAAATAATTTCAACTTTAAGATAATAATAGTTTTTAAAAAAAAATAAAAAAATAAAAGTTAAAAACTTTTACCTAATATAAAATTTAATGTATTCTTTGCTTTTTTCAAATTTCCAACAGAAAAAAGTACATTGGCCAATTCAAACTGCGCCTTGACCATACCTGGACATGAATTAGTTAGTTCTTCTAAAATCATTATGCTCTTTGCAAACACATCAGGAATTTTATTATTATTAAAATTAATCAATGTGTCAGAGGGAGCATACTTTAAGTATTCATGAACGACTTCCATCAAAAAAACTGGATTCATTTGATATATGTAAGTAATTCCAAATGGATACTTTTTAAAATTATTAAAATGTACTTGAACACATTGATTAAGATAACTAATAGCCTCTCCTGGAGTGTTAGCCAATTTAGCAGACATTAATAATAACTCAGAACTTTGTTGTTCATTTTGAATTTCCCTCAAAAATTCAACTTGTTGCTTGATTTGGTCATTGAGTCCTCCCTCTTCTATTTGACATAAAGTTAAACCAGTGAGTGCAGAAACAGATGATTCATCTAATTTAGTAGAATTTTTAAAAAATTTAACAGCTTCTTTCAAATTTTTTTGCAATAAGTTTTGATAACCCAATTCTGTTAAAAAATCCGAATTTGATGGCTCAATCTGTGCAGCTTTTTCAGCAAAAGAATAAGTTTCATGTAATATATTAGGATTTTTCTCTGATATATATGAAAATAATTGAGCATTTGTAAAATATAACTTTCCATTTTTTTTTTCACTTTTTCCAATTTCATTGTATAGTTGTTTTAACGAATAAGCTGCTTCTGTAAAATTTCCTTTTTTACAAATTAAAGCTAATGTTTTCATTTTATGAGCTTCAATGCAATTTTTGTCGATTAAAAGAATTCTGTTAGCAACTTCTACAGTTAAATCCCAATCGTTGGATACCAATTGAATTTTCATTTTTTCAATTAACGGTGGTAAGGAATTAGGATATTTAACAATTAATTGATTTAATATAGCCATAGCACCGCTCATGTCATTTTCTTTTTCTTTAATTTTTATCAATCCCAAATATGCATCTATATTTTTTTTATCTTTATCTAATGCAGCATTAAAGCATTGTGATGCAAGTTTGAAATCGCTTGTTTTACTATTAGAAATTTCAATCCAACCCTTTAATATCAAACCCTCAATGGAATTTGGATGAATTTTTAAAAATTTGTCTACATATTCAGTAGACTTACTTAATTTATCATTAAAAAACAAAAATAAAGCACCGTAGTACAAACTTAAGTCATTAGTTACTTTTCTATCAGATTTTAATTTATTTTCCAATGTGAGTACACTTTCCTTATCGATTGTTTTACAAAGTTTATGAGCGGCTATCAAAGCCAGCGTAGCACCAATATTAATATCTTTGAGATTAATTAAAACTTGTAATTCTCTAATACTTTCTTGAAGTCTACCGTTCAAAACTAAAGAAAAGGCATTGTATAATTTAAATGAAGAATCATCCGGGTAAATTTTCAAACCTTCCAATGTCAAAGTTTCAACAGTTTGAAAATATTTCTCCCGCAGATAGTAGTGAATTAAATTTTTAATATCTTTATCACTATTCATTTTTAATTTTTTTTAATAACAATAAATACTTATATACCATTAACTATTTAATTATTAACATTTTGATTTTTTATTGAAAAAACACTGTGATTAAAAAATTTAAACTTAAATAGCGCTGAAAATGCAAAACATGAAAACAAAAGTTTTCCATAGCAACAACAGTGGCAGCAGAATAATTGAATTAAATTTTCAAAATCCATTTTATATACCCCAGTTGGAAATAATTTAGTGTAATTATCAAATTTAAAGGTTTTCAATTTTTTCTTAAAGAAAAACATATTTTTCGGACATGTTTTAGCAATTCGGATATTTTAAATATCATTTTTTATTTAATAGGAAAAATAATAATAAATAATAAAAATTAAAAGGAACGTGTTTTATTTATGCAGAAATTAATAAAATATAAATACAAAAAAAATTAAAACTAAACTAATCACTTCCTGATTCTTCTGATTCTTCCGTTGTTGGTGGAGTGCTTTCTTCAGGTTCTTCCGGAAAATTTTCATCTTCATCAGATTGGTCTTTTTCATTTGATTTTTGACTTTCAGATTCTGTTTTCTTTTTTTTATTCGATGATTCATTATCTGAAGCTTTTCGTTTTTTTGATTTTTCACTTGATTTATCCTTATCATTTTTAGTTTTTTCACTTGATTTTTTACTTTTGTCTCCTTCAGATTCTTCTTTTGAAACCTTTTTCTTTAGTTAACAAAAAAAGCAAAGAAAATGTGTTAAATGCATAATATTACATGATATAAAAGAAAAAAAAAATTTGTTTACCTTAGATGCTTCACCGTTGCTACTATCGCTATCACTATCACTTAGGTACTCTTTACTTTTGAAACCGCTTCCTGAGAAAGATTTGTTGGAATTTGATGGTGGAGGTTTGACAGATTTTTTGACTACTTTTCCTTCTTTTCCTTCTTTTCCTTCTTTTCCTTCTTTTACTTCTTTTACTTCCTTTTCTTCTTCAACGCCACCACCAGATTCTTTAAATTTTTTTAAAGCTACTTCGTATTCTGCTTTGGCTTTTTTCGCTTTTTCATTCCATTTCTAAAAAAATTTTTTTTTTTTTTTTCTATTAAATTGAGTATTTTAGTTTAAATTAATTTTTTAAATAAAACAAAACTTACAGTTTTATCTTTGAGTTCTCGCCATACTTCTCCAGCTTTTTTTGCTAATTCAGTCATTTGAAGATTAGGATATTCTTCTTTAAGTTTGTCACGATTTTCATTCATCCAAATGAAATAAGCACTCGGGGGACGTTTTGGAGCATTTGAATTTTTAATTTTCTTTTCTTTTTTCTTTTTCCTTGGTTTTTCCGAAATTGTTTTTGCTTTCTTATGTTTTTTTTCTTTTTTTTCTTTACCCGATGCGTCCGAACCTCCTTCTTCATCTGATTCTGTTGTTGGCGCATTACTATCGTATCTAAAATGTAAAATTTAAAATTTTTTAAATTTACCTTTTCATTAATTAAAATCCCGACGATATTAATAAATTTAGAATTAAAACTTACTCTTCGGCAACATCACTTTCTTCTTGATTTGGATTGAAATCTTCATCCGTAGATTCTTCGTCATTAGATGCACCATCGCCATTTTCGTCTCTTTCTTCTGCTTCTCGTTTAACCCGCACCAGGTAAGCATCATTTTCTTGATCAGAATCGACAAAATCATCATTGTAATTGGGTTTATCCTAAAAAAAATATTAACAATTATTAACGCTTTAAAAAAAATTCATTAAAATAATATTTCTCGAATAAAATTAATCATAACTTACAGCCTTTCCTCTATTTTTAACAATTAATTTCTTCAAAACGATAAAGTCATACATTTTTTCATATTCATCCTTTTCTATGCTGCTAAATGTATGAACAACTCCATTTTTAAGTTCAACTTCAAAATCAAATGATCTTGTACTTCCTCCACTTCTAGCAAAATTAACACTGGCAACTTCTTCGAATCTTATATAAAATGGTGGTTTGTGGACATAAATAAAACCTCTGTCCATCGGATATAGATATCCAGCAGCCGCTTTATATGAACAAGCTATCGCTGGCGTATCAGATTTTCCAGTAAAACTAGGGTATGTTAACTTTCGACCAACTATACTTTTCATCAGTGTAGCTAATACTTCATAAGTTTGCCCTTTCATTTCTTTTTCTATTTTACCATCAAACTTTTGTTTAACTTCTTCCTCAGAATAAGGTAATTCGATAGAAATTTCATCTTCTCCTTGGGGAAATAAGCAGACTAAAAAGTGATACCTTTAAACCAAATAAATTTATTTTATGTATTTACCAGTGAAAATCTCTTAAAAATAATTAAGGAAGCATATTAAATATCAACATTCATAAAAATCTACCTAGTTTGTCCCTGTTTAATGGGTGGGTCTAAACTAACAACAAAAAATATCTGCCGCTTATCATGATGAGGCAGTAAAAATAATCTCAAAACCGTAGAAGCTGGAATTTTGTAATCAAATGTTTTACCTTAAAAACAAAAAAATAAATTTAAGAAAATTTCTGATTTGCAATTAACAATTATCAAGGTGTTTATAATTACTGACCATGAAGTTGAAAAAATGAACTGAATACTTTAATATCATATCTTCCTCTTGGAGTTAAACACTGAATCTCCCTAAATATAGCCAATGCATCACCAGAAACATTAATCACACTTGCCTTACTCATAACGTTTTGATGAAAAGCATCAACTGGATCTTCTCCTTGACTTTCTGAAGAAGGTATATGAAACCTGAAAATTAAAATACTATAGTTTTACAAAAAAAAAAAAAAAAAAAGGTAATTTAAATTATGTAATAAAAATAAAAATCACCTCATTTCCATTAAGTTTACAGGTGCATCATCATTTTGATGAAATTCAATTGTTACTTCATTTTTACCTGTGGTACACTGTGAAACATAATTTAATGGTATTTCAAATGCTGTGTGATTTGAAACTTCAAAATTTAATAGGGAACCAGAAAATTTAGCCGTTCCCCAATTCCATCCTTTAAGAGATAGTTCTTTTTCATTCATTTCCTTTTTATACTTTGAAAGAAAAAAATTGGCCAACTTGTTTTGCTCCTATTAAAAGTACAATTAAGAAAATATAGTTTTGCAGAAAGTTTACTAAAAGTGGTTTACTAGGTATTTAAACACTTACAGCTTCTTTAAATCCTTTAAACCTGTGTAAAGTTCCATTTTTTAAAAAAAATCTAATTCCAAAAGTTCCAACAAATTTTAACCAATGAACAGTTTCAATATCACTTTTTTCTATTTGTTCAACTTTTCCAGTTTTATAATTTTTAAATATCACAAATTGATCAGTTAGCTTTAATCTTCCAGGAGTCTAAAAAATAAAATTTTATTTAAATAAATAAAAATTATTTAAAGTAATTTTGTGGTGATGAGTTTTTGCAAAAATTGAGTGTTTATGTTTATAACATCATTAAAATTACAGAAATAACATCTAAAATTTACCAAATGTAATTAAATTAAGTACAGAAATCGAAAAAATCTATAAATTAAGTATAAAAACGCAACTTTTAATTAGCAAAAGAATCATGGTATACAGTTTATTATTCCTCATAGGTTAACTTTACTTTATTAATTGGTTAACTCCTTTTAGGATAAATAATTCACTATATTATTTAAAATTTTAATGAAATAAAAAACAAATGATTAAATTATTTTCAATTTAATTAATTATGAGAAATACAAATAAGGATAAGTATTTAATATTTTTTACAAAACATTGCAAGAAATTTGACAAATGTCAAGGTATATTAAGATTGTACAAAAAAAAATGAGATATATATTTTTATTATTATTATCTTACCATTGCTCCTTTTATTTCCGCTGATATATCATTATATTCTAATACATCAGTCATTTTGAAAATTAATTATAACTAAAATGAGACCTTTAATAATAATAGTTTCTTGTAGCTTACTGACCGCATTGGCAAAAAGCGGTAAAAGTTTACGCAAAGCTTAAAATTAGGTTGGCCCCACTGCAATTTGATAAACTTAAAAGTGAATCGTACTATTTATATATTTTTATATATAATTTTTACATTTATATTTTTACACAATTTTACTTTGTTAA